ATATATATATATAGTATTTAACAGTTTCTGAGTCATTCTTTTTGAACATTAGCCAAACATTTTTTGTTTTTGAGACAGAGCCCTACTTTGTTACCCTTGGTAGAGTGTACTGGCGTCATAGCTCACAGCAACTTCAATCTCTTTGGGCTCAAGTGATTCTCATGCCTCAGCCTCCCAGGTAAATGGGACTATAGGCGCCCGTCACAACAGTGGCTTTTTTTTTTTTTTTTTTAAATTTTTGAGACAGAGTCTCAAGCCGTTGCCCTCACTAGAGTGGCATGGCATCATGGCTCACAGCAACCTCCAACTCTTAGGCTTAAGTGATCCTTTTGCCTCAGTTTTTCTATTTTTAGTCGAGATAGGGTCTCACTTTTTTGCTCAGGCTGGTCTTGAACTCATCAGCTCAAGTAGTTTACCTGCCTTGGCCTCCCAAGTGCTAGGATTACAGGTATTTATACCTTGCCCAGCTAGCCAAAACTTTTTAAAACCACTCCCAGTATTATATTCTTTGTTGTACCCTGGATTAGGGGTTGGCAAACTTAAGAGCCATATAGTTAATTATTTGGGTTCTGTGGACCATAGGGTCTCTGTTGCAGCTTCTCACTTCCCCTGTGGTGACACACAGGCAGCTGTGGACAACAGGTAAACAAAAAGGCATGGTTGTGTTCCGTAAAACTAGGTGGGCAATGAGCTTAGAGTTTGCAGACCCTTACTGTAGAATATGCTTTCTGAGACTTAATTCTTCTTGTGATTTATCCCCTTAGTCTAAAATTAATGCACTGAAGACTTCATTTAATTGAAATACCTGGTTTGTTGGGTTACTTTATTAGACATGGTACTGTATTCTACCTTGACTTGTGATGCTCATCTACTTGCTGATAGAGCCCTTGATGGGAATTAGAGTTGTATCTTGATAATGCTTTCTCTAACATCACTCTAAAAAGTCTTTAGATGTCAGAAGTCATAAAATGATATGCTTTGTTTTGGTTTTTAAAAATGATGAAGATTTTAGAGCTCATTTAAACTCCTTTCACAGGTGAAGTAGTTGTGTCCTGTAGGAGCTAAGTGATGCATCTAAGGTTAAATAGCTACTGAGTGGCAAATCTAAAATGAGAATTTCCATATCCTGACTTTTTACAACTGTAGCCCTTTGCTTAGTATGTGATCCTACCCTTAGCCACTAATAGCAAATACGGGCCTGAAGGTCAAGTCCAAAAATGAGGAATCAGATGAGCAGCTACAGAATGTTGAAGATTTTTTTTGAGATAGAGTCTCACTCTGTGGCCCTGAGTAGAGTACTGTGACATTATCGTAGCTCACAGCAAACTCAAACTCCTGTCTCCAGTGATCCTGCCTCACAGGCACCACCGCATTGTGCAGCTCAGTTTTTCTTATTTTTAGTAGAAATGGGGTCTCACTCTTGGCCAGGCTGGTCTCAAAGTTCTGAGCTTAAGCAACTCTCCCTTCTTGGCCTCCTAGAAAGCTAGGATCACAGCCGTGAGCCACTGAGCCTGGCCTTAAAGACAAAATTTTAAAAATCAAGTCTGAAAACTCTCTAAAAGAAATCATTCTCAGAGTTCATTAAAAAACAGAAATGTCATAAATGTGTGTCGTGTTGCTAGCATTCTATCAGATTTATTTATTTATGATAAGATTCTCACTTTGTTGCCCTGGGTAGAGTGCATGATGTTATACATACCTCACAACAGCCTCAAACTTGTGGGTTCAAGAGATTCTCTTGCCTTAGCCACTGGCATAGCTGGGACTACAGGCACCTGCCACAGTGCCCAGTTAGTTTTTGCTCAGCCTGACCTTGACTTTCTGAGCTTAAGCAGTCCACCCATCTCAGCCTCCCAGAGCACTAGGATTACTAGCATGAGCCACCATGCCCAGCCTGTACCAGTTTTTTTTTTTTTTAGACAGAGTCTCACTTTGACGCCCTTGGTAGAGTGCCATGGCATCAAGCTCTTAGGCTCAAGTGATCCTCTTGCTTCCGCCTCTTGAGTAGCTGGGACTATGGGCTCCCAACACAACCCCTGGCTACTTTTAGATACAGGGTCTCACTCTTGCTCTTGTTGGTCTGGAACTTGTGAGCTCAATCTTCCCGACTTAGCCTCCCAGAGTGCTAGGATTATAGGCATGAGCCACGCGCCTGGTAGAAGCCAGGCCATCTTTAATATATAAAGATGATATATATTTGTATATATATTCATGAACTCTAGCAGTCCACCTGCTTTGGCCTCCCAGACTGCTGCAGTAGGGTTTTGAATAGGGGAAATAATAATGTAGTGGTGCTAATCTTGATGATAAAGACAGTTATTAGCTCTCAAAGAACATATAATTCAGATGAAAAGCATGCCTGCAAAATTAAGTTTTACACAATGTGTTAGAGAATATGTAGTCAGTAATGTGTAAGTATGAACGGTAAAGATAACTAAAGGTGGAAGGTCTCTTTCAGTCTCAGTATTGACAGAGGCTTAGCTGATGAAGGATTAGTAGGATTTAGACACTGTCAAATTATTCCTGTTAAAGGGGGAATGTATGGAAGTTGAAGTATCATGATTAATTTAGGAAGCAATCTAGATCTGGCTAGATTGTCTGTTTAGTAAGGGAGCAGGGTGTCTATTTGAAGATAAGATGAAGATGTTGATGTCGTTAAACTCTGTGTATCCTCAGTGACAAGGGGCTGTGGCCTTTTTCCTTTCTGCAGTGAGTTTTTATTTTTTTGGCAGAGTTTCACTTTGTCGCCCTCAGTAGGTACCGTGACCTTATAGCTCATAGTAACCTCCAACTCTTGGGCTTAGCAAACCAATTCTCTTACCTTAGCCTCCCAAGTAGCTGGGACTACAGGTGCCCACCAGAATGCACAACTATGTTTTTTTTTTTTTTTTTTTTTCTGAGAGACAAGGCCTAGCTCTGGGTCATGCTGGTCTTAAACCTGTGAGCTCAGGCAGTCCATCCACCTTGGCCTCCCAGAGTGCTAGGATTACAGGCGTGAGTGGGTTTTTTAAATTTTTGAGACAGACTCTCACTCTGTCATTCTAGGTAGAGAGCTGTGGCTCAGTAGTCACAGCAGCCTCAAACTCTTTAGCTCAAAAGATTCTCTTGCCTTAGCCCCCTGAGTATCTAGGACTACAGGCACCCACCACAATGCCTGGCTACTTCTATTTTTGGTAGAGAAGGGGTTTCTGCTCTTGATTAGAGCTGGTCTCAAATTCCTGAACTCTAGCAGTCCACCTGCTTTGGCCTCCCAGAGTGCTGCAGTAGGGTTTTGAATAGGGGAAATAATAATGTAGTGGTGCTAATCCTGAACCTTAATCTAGTGCCAGCGTGTGGGGTGGATCTGGAGGGGGGGAATAGAGGCTCAGGGATGGATTAGAAGACGGTCACAAGCTAGGAGGTAATGCATATTGACACAGTGTTTTTTCTTTCTTCAGGATCTTGATGCTGGTGTAAGTGAACATTCAGGTGACTGGTTGGATCAGGATTCAGTTTCAGATCAGTTTAGTGTAGAATTTGAAGTTGAATCTCTTGATTCGGAAGATTATAGTCTTAGTGAAGAAGGACAAGAACTCTCAGATGAAGATGATGAGGTAATATTTTTCCCTCCAGTTATATTAGAAAATTGTTTAATATTTTCCATGTTCATTGACTGTGAGATTGAAGTAATAAATTTATTGAGATTATTCAGATTTCACTTGAAATCCTTGCCTCTTGATTTGTTCAAACAGAAGTATTAGTTTGCTTCTTGATTTGTTCAGACTGAAATATATCTTGTCATTTGATTTATATTTTTATATTCTTGTTAATGCCAGAAAGTCAGTAGGCCTTAAGAAACATTCTTATAATGGTCTGTTCATTTTTTAAAATATTCAGTTACCCTCTTGTGATACTAACTTGCTCTTTATAAAAGTGAGACATAGATGCTTTTTTTTTTTTTTTTTTGAGACAAGAGTCTCATTTTGTCACCCTGGATATAGTGCTGTGGCGTCATAGCTCACACCAACCTCAAATTCTTGGGCTCAAGAGATTTTCTTGCCTCACCCTCCCAAGTAGCTGGGACTACAGGAACCTGCTACAACGCCTGGCTAGTTATTCTGTTTTTAGTAGGGATGAGGGTCTCATTCTTGCTCAGGTCAGTCTTGAACTCCTGAGCTCAAGTGATCCACCCACTTCAGTCTCCCAGAGTGCTCAGATTATAGGCGTGAGCCATCACACTTGGCCTCATAGGTGAAGTTTTAATGTCAAATAGTACCTCCATCTATGTTTCCTGGAAGTGACTGCTTTCAACATTTCTAGCTATTTCCCTGTTGTTTAATACCTCCATATTTATAACCTAAAACCACTTACTGCTGTTTAGTTTTGTTTGTTTTAGAAATTATTGACTTTTCCCAGGCTGGGTGAGGATTTCACTGTCCTCCATTTCCCCCCTTTATCCTTACTGCACTTGACCGTTGTCTCAGAATTTCTCATTCATAGTCAGTGGTACACACTATTTGTTTTAGGAGTTACTGCTAAGAAGCCTCCTTAATTGAAGGAAGAAAGGGGATGAATTGACAGTAATGAATTTGTTTTATTAGGTGTATCGAGTTACTGTGTATCAAGCAGAGGAGAGTGATACAGATTCATTTGAAGAAGATCCTGAAATTTCTCTAGCTGTAAGTATATATCTACTTTTTTAAGCAATCAAAAAATACTACTGAGGTCAAGATTGGGAAAGTATGTCTAGAGGTCTCCTCCATGAAATCGGGTGGTTTTTATAAAGTTAAAATCTTATCTTAAAATCTGAATGATTTAAAGCATTTTTCTTCTTTTATTTGTTGTGAGATCTGTTATAATTTTATGTTCTGGAATTTGAACTTTTAGAGATTCTAATACAGAAAATATCAAGTATGTATAGCACTAAGTGGTGTGATGCATCTTAGTGTGCTCACCTAGCTGTAGCAGTCACCAGCATTTTGCCAGTTGTGTCAAATATAAATGGTTTTGTTTTTATAAATATAAGGATTTTTAATATTGATTTGTATTAGAATATGGTAGAATTTGCCAGTAAAGAAATTAAAACTTACATTTCATGTGTGTTACACTGGGTTCCTTAAGTATTAGAAAGTTTTTATTTAACTGAGTATTATCAGTTTAATTTTTGCTCTTAATATAATTAAAAATTAAACTTTTATTGTATTTGAATGGGAAATAAATTTTATTTTTTCTGAGTTAGAAATACTAATTACCCAGATTTACAAAAGATGAAGTATTAAGATCTTTTTCAAAATATTTGCTGTATTAGTGGAAAACTAGTAACTAATTGACCCATTTGATGTCAAGTTGAGTGAAATATTATAGGTACACAAGGAGATCTTGCAATTTATTAGAATTCTTGAAGCATTTTCTGTTCAATATTGCAAGACCTTTGTCTTTGGTTTTATGAGCTAGGGGAAACTACCTTTCATAATTTGAAAGAACCAGTGTGGGAAAGTGACCAGTCTCTGCCCTTATTGGGACTGTCTTACATCATTTGTCAGGCAGTCTCAAAATGGTTATAGAGCAGTGGTTCTCAACCTTCCTAATGCCGCGATGTATTTTCATTGTTACAGAAGAGTCATGACCCACAGGTTGAGAACTGCTGTTATAGAGGGAAAGCCCCTTTTTTGGCTGTTTTACTTATAAAGTTACTCAGGCGAGGCCCATGCTTCAGCTAAGGCAAGGCCTAAGGATACTTGAGTAAGGGGGCTGGGGGCGTAGAAGAGTGTGTGATGAGAAAGGTTGGGATGAGGAAGAAACACGGAGCAGTTACACATTTGGGAACACAGGGAAGGATAGACAAAGGGGTGTACGTTGTGGATAGTGACGGAGGATAACAGGTTTGCGAGAACAAGGTAGCATTTCCTTTGAGGGTAGAGTTGGGTGGACTCAGTTGAGCGGTGACTGAGAGTGTTGCTGAGGTAGTACTACCTCTGGTGGATTGGGAGGTTCTCTAGGAGACAACTTTTATCTAGATTGATCGAGTGGACTCTAGAGATTGTGTCCAGGGTTGAGGCTTTAAGGGAGTGGGACTAGGTAACTTTACAGAGTAAAATACCCTGTGACACTTGCTTCAACTAGATGAACCAATAGTATCTGTGTCCTGAAACTTTTTAGGCACATGATTAATATCACAGTGAATGCATTTTTAGTTTTAGGAGTTTTCAGGTAGATATGGTTGGGAAAAAAATTGTTTACAGTCTCTTATTTGAAGAGAGATTGTTACATGTTGACTTTTAAAAATCTTTGCTTTATTGTATATATTTGAGGTATATAAATGCGATATTTTGACAGATATAGAGAGGGTGCCAAAAAGTGTACACACATTTTAAGAAAGGAAAAAATTGTATTATAATTGTAATACTACATTTGACTTCTACAATTACAAGAGATCGAGGATAACAAATGTTATTGGTATATATTGATTATTATAATTTTAATGCAGTTTTTTCCTTCTTTAAAATGTGTATACATTTTTTGGCACCACCATATATAAATAGTGAAATGATTAGTATAGTCAAGCAAGTTGTAACCTATTATTTTGAACAGTAATCTTGGTTAAAGTACCTCAAATGTATAGTTCAAGTACCTAAAAATCTACTCTCAGTAGATTTCTAGTATACAATATTATTAACTGTAATTCCTCATGCTGTACACATTGACTATTTTATATAAAACATGAAATGCTAAATATTGAGCTGTGTGATTCATTTTACCTTAGACATGCTAAAGTTAGCCTTGTTAGGACTAGTAGTTAAAGGGTTATAGAAACTAACTCTGTGTCTTTTTTCATTGAAGGACTATTGGAAATGTACTTCATGCAATGAAATGAATCCTCCTCTTCCATCACATTGCAACAGATGTTGGACCCTTCGTGAGAATTGGCTTCCTGAAGATAAAGGAAAAGACAGAAGGGATATCTCTGAGAAAGCCAAACTAGAAAACTCAGCACAAGCCGAAGAGGGCTTTGATGTTCCGGATTGTAAAAAAACTACAGGGAGTGATTCCAAAGAGTCATCTGTGGAGGTAAATGATGATAAAATCACTCAGGCCTCCCAGTCACAAGACAGTGAGGACTATTCTCAGCCATCAACTTCCAATAGCATTATTTACAGCAGCCAAGAAGATGTCAAAGAGTTTGAGAGGGAGGAAACCCAAGACAAAGAAGAGAGTTTGGAGTCCAGCTTTCCCCTTAGTGCCATTGAACCTTGTGTGATTTGCCAAGGTCGACCTAAAAATGGTTGCATTGTCCATGGCAAAACAGGACATCTTATGGCATGCTTCACGTGTGCAAAGAAGCTGAAGAAGAGGAATAAGCCCTGCCCAGTGTGCAGACAGCCAATCCAGATGATCGTGCTAACGTACTTCCCCTAGCTGACCTGCCCATAGAGTAGCATACGGATTTCTAACTATATAACTCTAACAATTTAGACAACATGGATTTTATTTTTATTTACATATATCAAAGTGAGAAAGTGTCTCAATCCAGATAGGTTTTTTCTTTAGTGTACTTTACCTACTTCAGGAGAGGAATAGTGAGTATTTATTTCCTTTTAGGAAAATTTCACTTTTGTTTGTATTTGGCTTTTAATGTAATTTGAGTTGGATGTATAGCTCATCCTTTACCCATGCTCCTTTCTCTTAAATGAGAAGTATCTGATTTTTTAAAATACATATATATTAGTAGGACACCTAAATGTAATTTATTTAGTACCTTACTTGTATGGAGAAAATGTGCAGTAGATTTTGATTAAATTTTTGGAAGCTCTTAAATCTTCTAATGTTTAGTTTTTCTGAGCCTCTTGAAAATATTCTTCCTGGGTAAAAAAGAAGCTGGTAGTTGTGTTTGTTGCTATGTGAGTAGAAATGTACGTCTTATTCCTTAGTGCCTTTGGTTATACTCTGAGGGCTAGATGGTAATGATGATGTCAGTGAGCACAGCTGTCACTCATAAGATAAAACTCTTTTAAAAGTTTCCCTAGTAAAATGTAGAATTGTCTTGGGAGTCTAATCTCTAGCACACCAGGCTGTTTTTCACAAAAAATCCTCTTCAGAGCAGGACACGGTGGCTCACACCTGTAATCCTAGCACTCTGGGAGGCTGAGGTGGGTGAATTGCTTGAGCTCAGGAGTTGAAGACCAGTCTGAACAAGAGCAAGACCCCGCCTCTACTAAAAATAGAAAAAAACTAACCAGGTGTTGTGGCAAGTGCCTGTAGCCTCTGCTATTTGGGAGGCTGAGGCAAGAGGATTGCTTGAGCCCAAGAGTTTGAGGTTGCTATGAGCTGTGACACCGCCACACTCTACCCAGGGCAGAGTGAGACTCTTGTCTCAAAAAAAAAAAAGTGCTCTGTAGGATTTAGTGGAATCCGTTGTTTCCCCCATGTTGAAGACTAAGATGCTTTGAAGTACCTTCTTGGGCAAGTTTATGTGGTTTCTAGTGGTTGCCTAGGTTTGGGACCTTTTATTAAGGCAAGTTTTAAAAACTAGTGAATTTAGAAATTTGATAAAACTCATTTTAAAACTAGCTGAAAAGGTTGTAAGTTCTCTGTCAATTATACAGAAATTATGCATCACTTTTCTTCAAAAAAGATGGGTTAGAACCTGGGATTCTAAAGTGCCTTTCTCTCAAGCTTGGTGTCTGGGCAGTGAGGGCTGTGCACATTGGGAAGTGCTGCTTCCCTTTGGGGCCCACTACCCTGGTGTGTTTCTGTCTGCAACTATTATAGGCTGCTTAGATTCTGTAAATCCAAATGCCATAACAATTTAAAAAAGAACCATCCTCACAATGAGTGGACTCAAAGCATTCCATAAAGCAGCTGGTGTAAAAAGTTAATTCACCTGAATTTGAAAAATGCAGAAATGAACCTGTCAAATGCCAGTGAGAGCTGTAGAATGAAACTGTTGATGCAACGAGGAAAGTCAAAGAGCTGGAGCAGAAGTGCCGACCTGCGTTTAGAGTGAGTGGATGGAAGAAAAAGACCTACAGGAAGTTCGGGTAGTGCGGCAAAGCATTCGTTGTATCTGGGCCCCTCACGCACAAAAGGAAAGCAGATACAAGAGGAGGAGGATGTGGACATGGACTGGGCTTCCTAAAATATCTCATTGTAACTGTTTCTACCTGACATTGGTAAATCTTGTTTAGAGGCTTAGAATTCCTCAATTGTTTATTTTTTACATAAGGTTAATCAAGGGTGACTACAAATACATCTCTCCTACACTGTTGTTTGCAAAATGGTCCTTACAGATTGCCCCTCAAAGTTAAATCTTCACTGTTGTGCTTATGTAAATCATGGAAATAGTAAATACGGAAGTGAACTGTGGTTATAAATTGGCCGTGTCATTCGGGTAGTGGTACCCGTCAGCATTGTGTAATAAGTAATGGCAACAATTCATGGCTAGTGATAAATAAAATTTTATTTGTAGTAAAATGTCTTAGAAGGTGGAGGGTACAGTAAGGAACTAACAATTTGTGTGACAAGGATCCTCAGATCTTTCAATTTGATTTCAGTATTCCCTGTTTTGGTTTATTAGCATTTTAGAAGAACATAAAGACCTTATACAGGGGGTCCATAAAGTTCATGTGCAATTTCAAAATAGTTAACTGTTTTAGGAAGTCTAATCACGCTATGCTGTTTTGACCTGGTTTCACTCTGATAGGTGGTGGTAGATATTGGGGATGTTGAGTAATTTTAGCCTGAAATGACACTATATAATTTCCAGTTTGTCAAGTGCTCGATTCTAACTTGTGGTTCCTAGTAAAACAAGCATTATTTTTCTAGCTTATCAGTGATCTAGAAGCAGAGGCATCTCAGTGCCTTTTAAGATTTCTGCAGTTTTCCTTTAAAATGTTTCTGCTTCTGGAAAACAGGATTTATGGGTAGATCTTCTGGTCATTATTTGCACATAAAACCTTTCTTAATGAGTACAAAGTTACAATTAGAAATCTAAGTTCTGGTGTCCCATTGCATAGTAGAGTTACTGTAGTTAACAATGATGGAATGAATAGTCAAAATAGCTAGAGAGGATTTTGAGTGTTATTACTACAAAGAAATGAGAAATGTTTGGAGTGATGATACGCTAATTATCTCAGATCATTTCACAATGTATATGCAGGGATCAAAACATGACATTGTACCCCACAAATACATGCAATTATTGTAGGCCAATTAAATTTTTAAAATTTCTAATGTAAAAAACTGTGGATTAATTTCTTCATATATATTTAAATAAGAATCTTCAGCAAAATAGTGAAAGTTAACCACCTTGACTTAAGGGCCCCGTGTTTCCCTCCCATGTGTGAGTTGTACACACTTAGCTGAGGACAGGAGAGTCAGCTGTAAGTTTAGAATAGACCCAACAGATGAGAGTGTGTATAACTCCGTGTGCTCACACAACTTACGCCCGGTTCAAGCAGGAAACAAAGGGTTGAAGGGATCAGTACTTCAGCTTTGGAGGGCCTCAAATACAGTAAAGCTTTATTTGGAACTTAAAAGACTTCAGCTAGGACCAAGTAGTGTCCATTTCTTCAGAGGGGAGTTGGTAAGCATAAATAAGATTATAAATGAAGTACCTTTAGAGTATGCAATGAACTATTTATATAACATTTTAAATTTGCAAATGAAGTGTCATTCTACAGGCTTGTGCATTGCAAACGTCTAAATTGTTAGGTTTAGTGTATGTATGTTGATTTTCAAATAAACGATTTATTAAATGATGAATTGTTTCAGAAATATGATTATTGGGTCTTAGAAACAGTTTTGTCAGGGGTTGAGTGAGGGACCCATTGACTTCCAGGCCTGACTTTGGGTTCCCCGGGAGCGGCTGGGCACCTGGCTGGGTTGAGTTGGCCTCCCTGCCTATACAGTAGGCCTGGCTTGACCCATGAGTCGCTCGGGGCACTGCATGATGTGTCTGGGCCTTGTGGCCAATGTCCCCAGGTACTGCCAAGTGGGAGTGTCTGAGGAGCTCCTGAAAGACCAGGACCTGTGCCTGGGAAAGGGTGGCCCCCAGACCTTCAGCATCTGAAGGCTGCCAGTGTCCTCACAGGCACTGGGACTCCTGACCACCCTTTCATCCAAGACTTGGCCCAGGGGATCAGCCTTAGCTCCCAGGCCAGTTCTCTGTCATGTTCAAACACCTTAGTCCGTGAGCGATGGCCAGAGCGCTGCATGTCCCCCTGTACCTGGGAAGTTTGGCATCGTCCGTCCAGACTGCCGGGGAGGTGGCACCCATCCTCTGACAGAATGCTGCTGCTTCCCTTACACAGTCCTCAGGACACCCAGGAGGGACTTTGGGGGCTGGAGGGCCCAGTTCTGTGAACGCAGTTGACCTGGTTCAATTACTCAGTTGATCTAGAAAGTTCCACCAAGATACAGCAGGAATCGAAAGTGAGTGGAAACTGAGAACCTGAGCTGCTCTGGCAGTATGGGGAGAGAAAGCAACGACACATGTTTCTGTGTGAATTTTATTTAAGAACAAAGAGAAAGCTTAGAGTGCTCCACAGGAGTCACAAGTGGGTCCCTGTCAGGACCAGGAAGATGTGAGGGAGGAGACGGAGGCTGCCGCTGCCGGGCTGTGAATCCCTCTTCCCCTCCCTCTGAAATTCCCGGCAAGTCTTCCTCTGGCTGCTCCACACCTCCAGGCAGTATTGTTCCTTTCTCTTGGTCATTGGGTACCTAGGTTACCTCAGACCCACATTCTTTGCCCTTTTTCTGGCAAGGCCTGCTGAGTGGTGATGACAGTGTGCTCACATTTCTGTGAGCCCCTCCGACTTCCTTGTTCAGCAGGCCAGGCCTTCCTCCCCTTAGTGTCCCTTCTCAGGGACAGCCCAAGGGCTGGTGCTGGACACTATGTCCACTAGTTGGCAAGGCCTTGTTAGGCCGCTGGAGCCTCCTCACTGGCTTGGCCCTTTCTGAACACTGTAGACCAACCCCAGACGCTGCTGGCTTAGCCTCACAGATGGGGAAAGAGGGTATTTATTATTTAGTTTAGTATGTCGGCCAAAAGCTGGGGGCGGGGGGGGGGAGAAGTTAAGGACATGCCTAAGTGTCCTTATTCTGATGAGTCTTTTTTTTTTCAGTTGAAAAGTAATTTATGTAAGAAATTTGGAATGCTGTGAGGTTCCAGCCAGCATTAGGGTTCTGGTGGCATTATAATAGGTTCGACCCAGCTGGAAGTGCCAGAGTCTCAGGTGACAGAGGTGCAGATTGGGCTCCTGAGTCAGAACCAGAACTAGGTTAGCATAAACAAAGTGTGTGGAGCCACAGGCCATGCACACTTCCCCTGATGGGGCAGGGGGCGCTGTATGCGTCACCGCCTGGCGGGCAGGGCGGTCACCAGGTCTAACGGCTGGTGCTCAAGTGGCAGGGAGCAGAGATGTGAGGGGAATCCAAGTCAAAGGAATACTAGAAACCAAATCTCTGCCATCTTTTTCAGCCACTAACTTTCCTATTTTTTCACAAAATAAATTATAGTTAATTATGCCTATCTTTATTAAAATCCAGTGTTAGCACCCCCCAGTTTCCTCATAATGAGTTTTATTAAAAACAAAAATCGTTTGAATGGCGTATGTTTGGGTAAACCAAAGACAGTCTGAATGTGTTATGTTTTCTAGAACGGTCATGTGTACCACTTTGAAAGCCCAGTTATCACTAGCAGCTCGATGCAGTGGGAGCCAAGGCATTCAGACCCTTTGAGAGGATAATGTTGCTGGCGGCAGGGTGGGAGATGCTGTTTCCCCACTTGGATCTTCACGTGGCAGGCTGGCTTACGTGGCTTCTCAAATGATAGTGAGTGGTCCAGAAGCGATGTAGCTGGGGGCAAGGAGGGGAACTTGGCTAGCCGTCATGTCACTTGTCGGCATGAAAGCCCTAATGTGGGGCACAGGGGCTCATGCTTGTAATACAATACTTTGGGAGGACAAAGTGGAGAATTGCTTATGGCCAGGAGTTCAAGACCAGCCTGGGCAACACAGCAAGACCCTATCTCAGAACAACAAGCACAACAAAAAACTTTTGCAATCACATCCTCTTTGACACTAAATTCCAACAGCCGGGACATCTTTATTATGAGGCACATATGGAGATGCTTAATAAGAATTTATTAAAT